TATATATATAATTCAACTTGAAATTTGATTAATTTTCCTACATTGACCACAGCATTATGCCAACTTATGAAACATGTTTTATGTTTAAATTGCTAAAAATAAAAATGACACAGAATTACATTATGTACATGCAAAAAAGAAGCTTCCTGTTGATTTTTTCAATTCCATCTTCAACGTAGATATCTTTAAAATGTTCATAAGTTGTGTAGTGTGACACAGCCTTAAACTGTTCACAAAAAGTTACAAATATTGTCTTTGGATCGTTTTGACCCGACAGTCATGTGGCACTGAAATCACAAACACAGAGTCAAAGATGTGAAAATGCTTTGAGTTTTCTCTCTGCCTCTCATTAACTCGACAATAAGAGTGAGAGACACAGGTGTGGGCTCATCATGGTCACCTCAGTGAGCCATTGTGGCAGCAGCTTTACAGTTTATCTTGGTTCTTTATTCTAATCTATATAAAATGTGAACACTGGTTGTAATATCTAATAATCTAAAACAGRAAATAAGTTAGCAAGTTTAACAAGTAAATATTACAAATATGTGCACCTTTAAAAATATCTTCAGAAATGTTATAGTTTTAAATTCCACTTTGAAATATCAGGGAAATATAAAGCCTGATTTAAACCGCTGGCATTTAGTAGTGAAAGGTAACCTGTACCTTGTTTTCATTCATGCTTRTAAAGAACTTAGCAATGTTTAAAAAATTTCTTTTGAGTCGAGTTCTATATTACCTTCAAGTTATTAATGTCATACAGGTGTTTTTATATTCACACGATAGTGTTTCAACAAACAACTTGTTAACTTTTCAACCCTAAACCCTGACAGGTCAGGTGTGCTAGTTAGCTTAGCTCCGGCTAGCTTGCGGCTCGGCTCAACTACAGCAACGCTCCTGTCCCGATTATGTATTTAACCGTTTAAATGTGTTGTCGCCAAAATTTAAAACTATCACGATAAAATAAACGTCATGAAAAGTTCCGCCAAGCAATAATAACCATTTGTCATTTCGGGGAGGTGCACTTTAATTAAAATTTGATATATTAACCAAACTTGTTTAGTTTTTAAATTTTGCTTAATACCTGCTACTAAAACTGTTTAACTTAACGATGGACAGCTCAAATTTGGAAAAATAATGATTTGATCTTAAATTAGTGGCATTTGCAGCATATAATGATTGCCGAATTTAAGAATAGAGCTAAATAGTTGAAAGTAACGTAATTATTTGCTTTATAAGTGCCTAAATTAAACGAGAGACTAGATTATGTGAAACTGCGGACTACTTTTCATGGAGTTCGGCGTCACGTTCTTCTCGGTTAGAACGGTGCGCATCGGGGCAAGGCCCGGCTGGATGGAACAAAGACCGAACAGAGGTAAAGCTCTACGCCGCGCTGCCGAAACTCACCCGGACAGGAGAAGAAATCGTAGCTGTTTTTCTTCTTTTAAATGTCCAGCTAAGAGTCCATCACACCCCGCATCTCCTTTAACAACACATCTTTTCTCAGGGATTCTACTAAAAAAGTAAAAATACAGAAAGCCCTCAATTAAATACTCACTTTCCAGGAACACACTACTCCAAAAAGCAGCAGTTTGTCAAGTTTGATGGAACAATGTACCTGACTTCCTGTCACACCCTTCAAAATAAAAGTATGGTGCTTTTATTTTATGTTGTTATTTTTGTATTTTCTTATGGAGAGGCTGCAAATAAAACACATAATCAAAACATTTTAGAAAGTTATAAATTAAAAATAACATTTACATTTTGCATTAAATGTAAATTAGTAGTCCAACTCATACACTTTATTTTACCATTTTATCCATGGTTGCAGGCTGTCAAACTTTCCAACAGAACTCAGACACATCAGAAACCAGATTGTTTGTAAACAAAATTGACGGCTTTGGTCTCTCCTCATAAAGTTTTTGTTTTGCTTCCCCTTAATAACAGAATACATTTTGTGTGTAAATGAATACTGTGCCGGCTCGTTTCTGGTAACTTGACAAGGAAGTGAAACGATTGACAGCTGTGGAGCAGAAACGAGTGTAGATGTGACACACACGACCACTGGGGTKCCGGGAGGACAGGCCAGGTTGTGTGGGGATTTTTTTTTTTTTTTTCATATTAAACCTGGGGTCCGTGGGACCCCTTCATTCAAACGTTATAACAGGTCGAGGGTAAGCAGATTTGTCATACTCATTAAAGAAATTGGTATCTATTCCATTATATGTCAAAGTTGTTTCTCTTGTATACTATAAGACTTGTATATTATAAGAGTCAAAATTTAGGCTGCATGTAAATATAGTTGTAGTTTTTAAATAAAGTGTGTAATC